GAGGTGATTAAATGAATTAATATATGACAAAGGCATTGAACAGTGCCTGGTGCATAGTAAGTACTCAGCAAATGTTAGCAGCTGCTTCTTCTGTTGTTATTTTATCAGACAGCTGTGATCTACAAAGGTTGTTTGGATATGCTGGCTCGGGGAAGATAAGCGCCCGTACAATACGGGGTTACTGGGAGGACCGAATGATACGTATAACCTCAGACAGCACTTGGGATATAGTGTCTTGTAAAGGCAGGTCTTAATGCTGGGAAGATCAGTAATAGGTGTGTAAAGTGCCCATGCCTGGTAGAGGTCAATACTGTTAGATCCTATCATTTCATCTCTCAGGGAAGTTATGAGTGATGTTAGAGGCGGAGGGTTGGGGCAGCTGGTATTTTAAAAACTCCTGACAAGAGGCCCCATTTTGATCCCCATAGAAGACATCATTTGTTATTGTTGTTCCCTTATTAGTATTATTAGAAGTAGCAGTAATGTGGAGTGATGGCTGAGCAGCTACGCATGCCAGGTTCTGCCTTCCTATTCTGTACGGAAGCAGAGGGAGACTTGAGCCAGCCGCTGCCCACAAGTGCAAGCAAGGAGGAAAAGCCCTGGGTCTCACTGCCCACTCCCACGACCCACTTCCTTTGCCTTGCTTGCCGATGAGGACTAGGCCAGCCTCCAGGAGAGTTTGCTGGAGATCAGCTTTCATTCAAGCCATTGCCATCTGCCACAGTGAGAGTCTGCAGGAAGTTTACAGCAAGAAGGTCCCAGGGCAGGACTGCTTCCCAGTACCACAGGGTGAGGAGGAAACAGAGAACCAGCCTTTCCCTCAGCTCCTTCCCCAGTTTCTCCTAGACCCACAGGAGCCAGCAAGCCCCACCAGCTGCCCCAGGAGTTTAAAATGGACATGGAAGTGAGAAAACAAGAAAATGCAACTGAGCCCTGAGCCTGGACACCGAAAATTACCAAAGATGTAGATCAAGGTAGCTGAAGATGTTAGAGTCCCTCAGGAGCAGTGACTGGGCTGCTGGGGACCAGAGTCAGAGAAAGATGCTGTCTGTCCTTCCCGCGGAAGTGCTGAGAGGATGTTCATGGCATTTCCATGGAGACTCACAGATCCCACCCTGCTGAGAGCAAGCAGGCAGCAGCATCAGGTGTGGGCCCTGAGCACCAAGAGAGATCAGCTGGGGTCAACCAAAGGCCACCTGCCTCACTTGGTGAGGCCAAGACCAGCCAGGCCCCAGACCCACCATGCAGGTGTCAGGGTGTCTGAGTAGCACCTGGCTGGTACAATCCTGCCTCCAAATACCAGAAAATAAAACATCAGGAACTTGGGTCAACTAAACACTGAAAATTGGAGAAAACCTCTTTAGCCGCCTGCTCAGAAACCCAGAAGCCCATTTCTTGGAAACAAAGACCCTATAGAGTTAGTCGGCTTCAGGAGTTTCTCAGTTATCCTGCCAAAAATAGACACGGGGGCAGAGGAGAGAAAAGCCTGATGCCATGGATCCTGGCTACTCAGAGGACTGACCATCATGCTATAATAGAAGCCTCTTAAGAGAGAAGCCAATTAATGCACCTCCACTACAGTGATTACATGGCTATTATCTGCCCACTCAGAGAATGTGAGAACCACAAAAACCACAAAGTCCGAAACCCAGTGAGCAGCAGGCTTAATTGTCTTCTGTAAGGAATGCCTTTTGTCTTGCTGAGTGCTCCATCAAAAACGCTAAGTGTTAATGCACCCTGTATAATCTATCTGGCCAGCTAACTAGTTTAATCCATCACACACCATGTGAAAGAATAAAAGCAGGTTGGTAGTGACAAGTTAATAGTAGAGGCAGGAAATAAAATGGAGAAACACACTTTGATTGATGGTGCAGAACTATTAGGTGCTACTATAGATGGACTCTGCCTGGTTTTATATAGTGGCCAATCAAAGCAAAATAGATCTAGTAATTTAAAACTTTAAAAATGTCTCCTCAATTAAAAATTTAAAAGGCCAGTGGATAAATTGCATTCCAATTGAACAATAAAAATTCAATTACAGCCAACTCTCAAATATCTACGAGTAGATCTGCCAAACAAATCTTAATTTCAGCCCCTCATTGGCCTGATTATCTGCTCTGCCAGTCCAAGCCCCTTGTTACCAAAATCTCTACTTTGCCTCTATTACACTTTCTTAGACCTGGATAAAGGGGTCACTTTCGAAGTAGAAACACTTAAAACCAAACATCTACCTGCAGAGACTATGGGAGAGTGAGAGGCACAAATCTTAGAGGATATAGAGCTATCTACTTCGGCTGATGTCTTGCTACAGTTTGACAATAATGTCATCCATACCCAAGAGTGTGAGGGAAAATTAGGAAGTCTCAGAGAGGCACGATGGAAAGACTTGTTATCCATTATATTATCCATTATATAGCGAAGCTTGTTAGGTTCAGCTGAACCCAATAACCAAAGCTGGAGCCCTCTTGGTCTGTTTAGAAGCTGTAGCATACAAACAGGACCGTTGTAAATAGGTCATCACATATTAGAATACATGGTTGATAGGAATTTATTCCAGGGGTAGACACACACACACACATGCGCACTTACACACACACACACACACACACACACACACACAGATGATGTATATACAAGACTAATCACTGCCACATACTGCAATAAAAAATTACTGGAAACTACCTAAAAGGTCCACAAAGAGAGAACTGGTTAAATGAAGTATGGCACATCCAGAAAAGGGATGTTAGCTGCTATAAAAAAAAGAAAAACAAATGGTAAAGCTCTCTCTATGTCATAGTGCCAAGTTTTTTTAAAAAAGCAAGATGTAGAAGGGTGTATATGCTATAATACCATTGTATAAAGAGGTGCAGACACACACACACATACTTGCTTAGTATGCATAAAATCTCTCTCAAGAAGTATGTAATGGCCTCATAACATTGGTTGCTCTAAGGCGGGGAACTGAGTGGATGGGGACAGGAAGAGACACTTTTATTATACGCTTTCAAACCTTTTGAATTTTGAACATATGAACAAATTGCCTACTCAAAAACAAGTAAATTGCATAGTTAGCCCCGTTAATCTCTGCTCCGAGCTCTCCCATCCCTTGTTTCCTATCAATTTAGTCACTCTAGGTATCTGTGTATAGACATACTATGACCCCCAGGTTGTTTTTCTATAATCTTTGTCTCTGTCTTGTTGATTTGCATCAGGAATCACTTTTCACTAAAGAGATGTCTTCATTAACATTCCTCTGTGCCTCTAGGTTCAAGATCCAACAATTTAATACCAAATCATCAAGTGGTGCCTTTAGTTACCTCCACCTGAAGGTCTAGAGATACATCAATTCCTCAGCAGAGCCTCAGCTCAGCGGTATCTTTATGTCACTGACCTTCACGGTATAACCTATGTACTCACTGTAAAATACATTCGCTTCCTTCTCCTGGGCATGACTTCAGACCCCATATTAGCCCTTCAGAGCTGCAAATTGGGGATTTCCCTCTTGGGTTCTCATGGGCCAGCCCAAAGACCCTGGACTCACTCAGTCCACAGGAGAGTTGTCTTGACCAAACCCCAGACAAGCAGAGAACTGAAGTTTGATCAGTGCACTTCTGCTGTTGCCTGCCACAGCTGCAGGATGTCACAGAGGAGGATCAGTCTCACCAGTTCTATTAGTGCTTTGCCTGCTGTGCTGATGTCTCATCTGGTGTTAATTCTCCTAGTCTACACTCATTGATTTACTCCTGTTCCTGGATTAAGACACCCTACCAGAGACCTCCTGAATCCTTCTGCCTTGCCACCTTTCCCCATAAAATACCCACTTTACCAGGCTCTCTTGCAATTGAGAGTAACCATTTCATGGCTCTGGCCAAGGAGACAGTAAATTGAAAGTCTACTAGCAGGTAACTGAGAAACCACGAGGATAGAACCAGCTGCTACTGCCCTTCCTCTTCTTTTCTGCCCTTGCTGTTGATTTGATGACTGGAGAGACAGCAGCCCTCTTGCAACCACGAGGCAACAAGTATGAGGAAAATACCAAGAGAAATGCAACAAAATTTCCCCTGATATCATTAAGCCATCAAACCAACCCCAGTAGCTACCTGCTTCTGGTCTTCTTGTTCTATGAAATCATTCAATTCCTATTTGTTTCAGCTCCTTAATAAAGTTTTCTGCTACGGTAGCTAAACATCATCTTGAGTGTTAGAGATGTTGCCCTCAAGGAATCCATATTCTAGTGGTACAAATAAGATACGTTTTCAAATTTCTAAAATACAAAGTGAGAGTTTTGAGTATGATTTGACAGAACACAATAAATTATATAAAAGTCATAACCACATTTATCCAAATATTTTAGGGAATGTTGGTAGAGGTATTATATATTTAAATGTAGCACTTTATTCCATAGTCAGCATTCTAAAACATAAATACATTACTGCATATAGCTGAACTCTTCAGGAACTACAAATGAAAGACAGATTGCTTGGAAAATATCCAATTTTGCATATGCTTATCTTTTCAGATATACGAAAACCATAAAGCAAAAGGATTTAGAAGCACTGTAGAGAATCTGACAATGCCTAAGGTTATAAAAAGTCAAATTCCAAATTTATTGCACAACATGCATTTGGTCTGTTATTTTCCCAAGCATTTCATTGTTGAACACTGCATAGATATGACAAAGTTTCATCTTTGCCTAATACTATATAGATAGAGCAAATACAAAAATTGAAGAAGCTGCAGATATCTTCACTGACCGAATTTTTCCATTGCTCTTATGTTGGGTTTAATTGAAAAGTTTAGAGTATATAGCATATTTTGCATACAGTATACTAGCAGAGAGCTAAGGGTATTTTAGCAATTCTGTTTTGCAATACGTGTTCCATTAACATAATGTCTGAAATATAAGCATATCTTTTTCAATGATTTACTGCATAATTCTTAGAACAATGGAAAACACTAACATTAGTCTCATGTTTTAAAACATTTCAATTAAGTTTGCATCTAAAATTGGCATTGCATTACCATCAGAGACCTCAGTAAGTCCAGAGTTGACTGAGATGGCAAGGCTGTGCATTATAATGAAAAGAACATTGAGTTATCTTCAAAGAACTGAAGTTCTAGCTCTGGCTCATGAAATTGCTAGCTGTGCAACTTCTGGGGTGTCACTAACCTCTCTGAACACAAGTTTTCTCACTGGTAAAATGTTGAGAGTAACACTCATCTCACAGGGCCATCATTAGAAAGGAGAAAAGGTGGTGACTCTGCCTTTCAAACCATAAAGGACTCTGCAGACGGAAGGTACGACTTCTTCCAGTTCCACTACTGAATCCATACAATCTTGAGATGTGTGTTAAGTCTTGTGTGCTTCTACTTAGTCTAAAAATTACAGATGCGTAGTCTTTTCCAGGAAAATTTGTGTCCCTCTGCTAAAGGAAATTTCAAAAACACAGGGGGTAGGAAATCTGTATACTTTTTGCTTATGCTTTCATTCAACTAACATTTATCAAGTGCTGACTGTTGTAGCTCTATATGGAGCCCAAGGATATAAAGGTAAATAGGATATACTTTCCTGACCTCCAGAAACCCAAGGTTTCATAGGAGTTATAACCACACAAACGTGATTATGATACGCTGTGAGGCGTATTGATAATCAGAGATGTTCAGACAGCTGGTAGCCTTTAAAAGGAGGTGAATCTCTTAGTTACTATCTGAGAGATTGAGGGGGAACCAGAGAGGAGGAAAAATTGCTGGGTAAAGATAAATTTCCTCTGTGTCCCAGTTTCTTAGAACCTGCCCTTCAAGCAAGGCTTCTCCAGGAGTTCTTTTCAAGGGCTTTGTTGGAGCTTCTCAGCTGAGAGTATGGTCTTGGTTGGCTGAAACCCTAATGGCAATAAACTCCCTCAAAAGAGACCATACATGATGAATTGCAATAAAATCCTTGACCCAGCTCTTGGTTAGTGAATTCTTTGCTTTAAGAAGTACTTTTATGATTCAATGGCCTCTTTGACCTGAAGTCAAGATTGGATAGCACCATGATCTTCCCACTCCTGAGCAGGAATCTTTCTCGTCAACACAACCACATCCGGCTTACTGGAAAAGAGCTTCTTGGTGCTGTTGTTAAACTAGCAGTACCACAAGACTTTTGCAAGAAATCAAAGCAGATTTCATTACTCAATAAACATTTTGTGAGGGCCTGTTAGACACCAGACATTAGTAACACAGAGCTAGCTGGGATAGAGTCCTTGCCTTCAAAGTCCCTACAGTCTAGAAGGGGTGATAGCCACATGATTAAATCTCTCCAATAAAGCACTAAAGAGGCTGTAAAAAAAGGTGCAGTAGAGGCATGAGGGATATAGAGTTGGGATTTCTTAGCAGTTCAGGAAAGGATTCAGGGAGAGGGTGAATATTGAAATATGAGGGGGTATTCACCAGATGAACAATGGGGAAGGATATTCTAGGTAAGAGTATAAGCAAGGGCTCAAAGGTTGGGAAAAAAACCTGGTGTGTTCCAGGAACCCCACGCATTTTTCCATCGCTAGAGCATCAGGCTATGGGGGCATGCGAGGTGAGAGCTGACATCAGAGGAAAGTTAGAGTAGAAATTCCTGGGGTGCCACACCAAGGAGTGAGGACTCAGTGGGGATCTACTGAAGGATTTTAATTTGCTTTTAAGATTAGATGACTGTTGAGGAGGTTGGCGGCCTGGGTCTGCCACAAAGAGGATGCTGACTGCTCACTTCAGCAGAACAGGAGAGCATTTCCAAACTGTTCATCACTTTCATTGTTATCTAACACCTAACATTCAGAGACCATATCTGAAAAGCGAAATTGAGATATCCAACTGATTAGGTTCCCAAGTGCTGAAGAGATGGCTTTTAAAGTGCTTACATGTCCCGGAAACAGGCAAAAGTAAAGCATCTTCCCAGCTGTTCCCTAATCTGGGAACTTCTCATGGTAACTGACAAGAGTTCAACACAATCAATCAGAAACCCCATGAAAACAGCCCCACTGCTGAGCGTCCATTGAGAACTCCGCCATCTCTCATATGTCTGAGGAAACCAGAGACGGTGCCAAGTGATTTTTAAATAATCAGCTTGTCTGTAAGAAAAGAACCATTTATATCAACAGTTCTCAGCAACAAAGCATTCGCTCCTTTCAAGGAGAAGCTTCCACCAAAGCTAACTAAAAGCAAAGCTCCTCCTAATCCTGCACCAAAAGTTTCAGAGCAAATAGAGGATAGGGTGCAAATTTAGGTGAGGGCTCACTATGACACTTTTTTCTGCTAAATGGCTTGTAGGAACTCTATGAAAGTGGCTAATGTTGAATCGGACAGCAGTCTCCTGGTTTGTGGTGTCTGGTGGCCCCTAGTGGAGGCTCAAGTGTCCTCCCCCCACCCCCACCCCCAGCTCCGTTCACTTCCAAAGAGTACTAATAGCTGATCAGGTTTAAGGGCATTTTATTACCAGTTGTACTAATAGGTGGGGTTCTTTGCCAATTAAAAAGGAGACACTCAACATCAACGATATCGTATCTCCTGCTATACTTTATATTTGGTATAGCAGAAATGAATTTTTTTAGGCCACCAACTGAGACAAGCAAATAAATGTATCTTTCTTGATTTTTATATTTCTATCTCAAACCCCCCTTCCTCTTGGTAATAAAAACTTTGCCTTTGACAGGGTAAGCTCAGGCAAACCAGGATTTTCTTTTGATGGCTTTGTTTAGAGATTTTCATCCATGTCCGCTGAGTTATGTAGAGCTTCTTTGATGAAGAGGAGGTACTTCATCCTCAGTTGCCATCACTTCTCCATGAAGGCATCCCCTGGGATGAACGCACCAGCCCCAGTCCTGGACACCTGTGTCTATCTGCCCCAGCACTCCTGGAGGTGTCCCATCTCCCTATATGGTCATCACATTCAAGTCTTCTTCTGGCCCATTGGTCCTTTCTCAGATACATGAGAGGTCTTCTCTAAGGTGGCATGGGTGGCTTTGAGATATTCTCCTGTGCCGCCCTGGGGCTGTGGGAAAGTCAACGGGACCATCTCATGTTCTCTTTGCTGAGAGACATGCCATATGCCAACCTGGATGGTACAAGAGAACTGAGAGGCTTAATACCTTCCTGGCCTCCACCTGAGAAGCAAGACACAGATCCACTCTATCCTAGGACCCCCAGTGAAGTGTAGGGCCTCAGTCATTGCCCAGAATCCAAAGGCCCAGTTCCCTACAACTCTACTGCCTCATGCCCTGGAGTCTTTCTCCAGTCTAGACAGCTTGGATAAAGCCGACTTATTCTCCCCAGCTTCTTGTTTCTGGCACACACGACTCTAAAGATTTCCCTCACTTCCACATCTCATGACTTCTTACTTCTGGCATCAGTTTCAAAAAGCCAACTACCACTTCTCAGTTCTTGGAGGTTCTCATCTGTTGCAGTTCTAAAGCAATGTCATCCACCAACTGAAGGGAAAAGAATCAGAACTCACAGGAATTAACTGAAGAAGAGACAGCAGTCTATATGTGCAAATATTATCCTGACACATTTGTTGCTGTCATGAAGCTGGAGAAGTGGGATGATTTGGGGCTGCTCCCTTACAAGAGAGGGTCCGTTCCAGCCTCTCTCTCTCTTTCTCCCTCACTCCTAATGTGGTCCAGAGGTCCAGGACTTTTCTGAGGAGACACAATCAACACTTCTTACTCTTCCTACCAAGCAGGTGAGGTATGAAGGTATCAACAACTTGCCTGAAAGTGCCTGAGGTGGAGGGTCAATTGAGTCAGCTCAGCTCTGGATCTTACAGGGGAAAAGTAGAAACTTTCTGGTTTCTTCTTTCCTCTAGCCCAGATAAAAGACAGTCTCCACGTGGTCAACTGTCAATCCCTAGAAATTTGCAAGTTGGTTTAAGCCTCAGAATTCACTTTGTCCTGAGGACAGGGAAGTCTCTGTGCAGAAGTTGGCATTTGACCTTGTCTTGAAGGATGAGGACAGGGTGGAGGGAACTGCAGGAGGAGGAATCAGCATAAATAAAGGCCAAGAATTGGGAATATGGAACAAGGGAAAGGGGCAGGCTAAAGATGATCTGAAGTTTCTGTTCTGGGTATCAGCCAGATGGTGAAGCTGTGAACAGACCAAGGCTTCCCATTTAGAATTTATCTTTGGCAGCCATGTGTTAGATTTTTCTGTATACATCTTGCCTTCTTGAAAACAGACATCACCTTTTATTCATTCATTTATTCATATATCTTTCCTTAAAGAAAATAACCAGTATACACTGTAATAACTGAAAATATGCCACGGAAGATATCCCTCATCCTGTTCACTGGATTTGCTCCATTTAGGAGTATGTTGCCAAAATTGTAGATGCTTTGTTTTTCTCAAACTATTTCTTTAAGCTTTGCAGATTAGGGAAAAATCTATGTTGCTTCTTCCCTACATATTTTAAATTATAATTTGGGTTAAATTAATATATCTTAAATCATGAGCATTTGACAATTTAACCTTCAAGATATTATTGCAAACCTTTAAAATATTATTTTTCAGGGCCCTTTGACTCATTTGCTATTTACCTTGCCAACAAAGCAGTCTTTCCTAACACACAAAAAAATGAGACTCTACCTGTTGTAAATAGATTCTAATAAATTATTTGAGTCCATCTGGAAATACAGAAATGTCTAACTGCCAAAGCTTATCCCGATTCTATTTTTTGATAGAGTCACAAGACATGCAAGAGAGAAGCAAATAAAAATGCCCTTTCATTTTGTCTGAAATACAACACCACCCTCAGCTTTTCTCATCATATCAGAAAATTCCCTCCGGCCAAGCTGACTGCAGTTCAGCTCAGCAGGGTACATTGATCCAGGTTCCCTTCAGAAGCCTTCTCTCCCCTTCTTCCCCCATGATAGGATAAATGCCCATTACCCCAGAGGCTGGGGCTTGTTTCTTGCAGGAAATACGACCTCATTTTTATCCCTCTGTTCCTGCCTCTCTATTGCACATTCCATCAATCAAATCAAATACAAGAGTACCAGGGACTAGTGCATATTACGTGCAGAATAGTCACTGAAAATTTGGGTAGACAACACAGTGATTTCTAGAGAGTTCTGAAATCCTAGTCTATGGACAACTGATGAAATTATTTGGAAGCATGCACCTGACTCTGTTTGCTTACTTGAGAGCGTCTGAAAACTTCTTGAACCTCAGAAAATATAAAAAAATCATTTGTCTTTGCCAATAAAGAATATTGGCCTGCACAGAATTTTAAAATCCAATACTTAAATTTTTCTTCAAGGTTTCTTTGCTTTTGCTCATTCCTTCCCAATATTTTCCAAAAAGCAGAAAGAAACACCACTCAAGGTTCTCCTCTTAAAAACTGGATGAGCACAATTACTCTCGGGAAGTCTCCACGGTGTCTTGGTTTGGACTAACCCATTCATCTCCACCAACAGGGAACTTTTTTTTCTTTGAATACCCTAAAACCAGTATTGCCCATCCCTATTCCAGAGTCAGTGAAACCTGTGGTCCAACCCAAGATCAGGAAGGACTGGAGAGGGAAGAGGCAACAACTCCCCAGGCAGCTTGTGTTCCCTCAAAATTGTTATCACCACCTCTTCATTCAACGCAGGATCAGAGCAGTTTTAGAGCTGGAAGAGACCTGAGCACAATATGGCCCCATCCTAAGTAGTTCCATTCCTTCAAGGACTTCTCCCAGACCCAAAAGACTCAGACACAAGAGGGATGTTGGGCAGATGGGCCACCTGCGTTGAATTAGTTCTTACACAGCTCATTTGACCCTGGGTGCTTTGATTTCTGGCTACCTCAATTCCAAACTTATTTCTCCCCCTTCCTGTAGCCTACCATATCCAGCCCTACATGCTATTTGTCCTGCCTTGCTGGCTGTCAGCTTTTATGCTCCATTTCCTAGGTGCCACCCAGCATTTTCCTTCTGGACTCATCCTCTCAGTGGACTCCTAACCTGCCAGAAAGCCCATTTTGGTTTATCCTGAAACCCTCCACATCTTTGACCTAAGGGAGCCCAGCCTTATGATCTGGTTTCTAGAAAGTCTAACCCCTTTGTTGCATAAATAAGGAAATTGAGGCCAAAGGTTACATTGATGACAGAGCAAGATGTAAACCCAGCATCCTTCTCCAAATTATGGGCTCGTTTTTCCACATACAATTTAGAATAAATCAATAAAATTACCACTCCATTTTAGCTTAATCTCAACGACTAGCCGTCCCCCTCATCACCCTGGCCTCCAAACTCTGGGCTCTTTTTTTTCTAATTTTAACAAGATTGGAGTGAACCCTTCTCCCTTCCTGCACTGTGTTGCCTGGAACTCAGATTTGATGGATGGGATGGCCATGCTAGACCCTGAAGATGAGAGCCCCAACCTGGAAACAGCCATGTGATAATCCAGAGGGAGCCTGGTCCCTGATGACATCAAGGAATCACCAAACTGGACTGCTTGCCCCTCGACTTCTTTCATGGAAGAGAAAAACTAAAAGTGCATATTTTCATTTTTTTACACTAAATGCAACAAACATAGCCCAAGCAAAAACAACGACCTCACACTAAGGAACGGAAGAGCAGGTGGATCAGAGGGGCCTGGGTTTCTGATGCTGTCACAGAGCTGCCATACCTACGCTAGTCTTACTTTCCTTGGGAGAAAAGTAAAGCTTCTAAATTATTTAGGGTTTCATGGAGGAGTGGGGATGGAGCTGGAGTTTCCATAGGAGGAGATGCTTCTCCGCTTGGGCTGCTCCTTAAGCAACTAAGAATGCCTGTTTCTTTCTGCAGGGTTCAGTTGCCCGGGTCAAGGCTGTGTGATTCAGAGACATTCCTGCTCCCACACACAGGCCCAACTGCTTGAGCTGTTATCCAACACCAGCTTCCTAAAAAAGCCTGTGAAAATGCCCACAACTCTTAAGCCCTAAGCTGAAGATTGACTCAGCGGTTTTTCTAGGTCCTCTCTGTGAGAAGGGACAGCACAGGACCCAGAGAAAAGCAGAAATCCCTGCGCCTAACCCAGCGATTTACTGTAACCAACCTGGAACCATTAAAGCAAAACACTGACAGAAGTCAGGGCTCCGTTCTTCCAACGTCTCACCCTGCTCTGGACCTTCAGCATGTTTACTGTGCAGCCATCTGTGAACATCTTTGTGAAACTAGTTAAAGCCTTTTGAGACCCTAAACTTCTAGTTACACTAATTTCCCCCCACATGAATTAGGACTTGAGTAAACAAAAGGCAGACTTGAGGACGGAGAGCGACTGTGCCGTGTTAAATGGTGCATTTCTCCGGGCCTGCCCGTGGATTGTTGCGTTCCCATCCCCGGGCGCCAGAGACCGTATAATGGGCTCTTTATGTGGTGCTTGGTTAGAAAAACGTATTGACAAAGAATCACAGACAAATCATAGCCGTGACCTTTAGCGTTCAAACGCGATTTTCCTTGGGAGTGATTTAATTGCCCATGCAGCTCGCTGGCTGCACACAGGAGCAGCCTTTCTGCCTTTCCAAAGGCCGCGGCCGGGCCAGGCTGGTTTGCCTTTCCTGTGAATGTTTGGCCCAGGACTGCTCCTATAACGAGGCTCCGTTGTGCCATACAAGGATAAACAGCGCATGGCATCCAGCTGGACTCAGTGAGCTTGAAAGATTGCTTCCCGAGCACCTGCTGCCCAAGCCGACCTTGGATCTGACAGCGCCCCTGGCCTCAGACTCGGCGTTCAGATGACTGGCACAGATGCCCGTGCAGGCCTGTGGCCCGCAGGCGTAAGAGCGGGGGCCAGGGGCTACTGAGTGAGGTAAAATATGTTTGTCCTTGCCCTTCCCAATCCTTTAGTGTACTTCTTGCCATCCTTTAGCCAGAGCTCTGCTTGATCCCTTCACTGCTCTGAGCTTGAGGAAAACGGAAGGCAGACACAAAAGGCCACCTATGGTGTGACTCCATTTATATGCGGTATCCAGAATAGGCAGATCCAGAGTGATAGAAAGCAGGTTCTTGGTTGCCAGGGACTGTAAGAAAGAGAGAACGGGGAGTGACTGGTTTAAGGGTACAGGGTTTTCGTTTGGGGTGATTAAAAAATTCTGGAACTTGATAGAGGTGATGATTGCACATCATCGTGAAGGTACTAAATGCCACTGAACTGTGCTTTAAAATGGCTAGAATGCACATTTCGTGTTATGCATATTTTACCACAGTTTTTTTAAGTGTGACTGAAGGGTTGTACTGGAGGGAGGAAAGGATGGATGTACTTACTCCCAAGGCCCCAGGAGACAAAACCAAGACCAATAAGAGGGAGTCTCTTAGAGGCAGCTTTCAGCTCATTGCGTACATAGAGGGGAAAGGACAACCTAGAACAGGCCTACTGTGAGCCAGGCACCCTCAGCCCTCACTTCCTTGAAGTCCACAGCCCTGGGAGGAGGTTATTGTCCTTATTTTATGGCTAAGGAAAGGATGACTCCCAGAAGCTAGAACTACTTTCCCAAGGACACAGAGCTAATAAGAGGTGGAAGTTAGCTTTGAACCCAGGTTTTTCTGCTCCGGAATCTGTACCCTTTTTAATTCACAGTGCTCCTGCAACTTTTCTACCAAAGTACCCCTACTGCCCCTTAGGAAGCTTGAAACCATGCAGCAGCGTGAATGGGGTGAAGCCCAAGGAACTGCCGAGCATCAGCCTCATGTTTTTGCTTATGAATTCGTGCAAAATCACATGCTTGCTCTATTATCTTATGTGACTTTTTTCTTAAATATTAAAATAAGTTTTTGTCCAAATCTTCTAGGAAAGTATCACTTGGGGAAGATGGTGTTTACCCTACAGCCTCCCAGCCCACTTCACATGCCACAGGGGTCTGCTTTCCATCTCTCTGTAAGCAGCTGAAGTTACAGCATCCCTACAGGAAGCAAAATCCAACCGTCATCTAGGGGGAGAGAGGAAGGACACACAGCAACTCATTAACATATCAACTGGAATTTGTTCCAGTTTGAGAAGCTGGCACTAAACTGGCTGCTTTCCAAAAGGGGAAGGGGAGGGAGGGGGAGAGGCGGGGAGGGAGGGGGAGAGGCGGGGAGGGAGGGAGGGAGGGGTCCTTTGCACTGGAGTGTTCATACCCTGGAAGGGATGTTACAAGAATTCGTACACGGGAGGAGATGAGGTTGAACCTCAGTGATTTAACTCTATGTAGTCACAGACCCATTCTGAGAATCTAGTGAAACCTATTAACCTTCCTTACCAAAATTGCCCAGACCTATAAAGTTTGCTATTATCTTAGGGGGTTATAATCCCCCTAAAGTCTAGATCCTGAATTAAGCATCCCTGCACTACATGGTCTTAGGCAGAAAATGAAACAAACTTGAAGATTCCTTCTAACCCTAAGAGTCTGATCTTGTCCTGGTCTGTGTTTCACTCAATAATCAGTCAAATAATCACTCAAAAATGTACCCAGTTTGTGGCCCATTTCCTCACCACTTTGAGTGACTCAATTTATCAGCAAATGTAATAAACAAATTCCAGTTGATATGTTAATGAGTTGCTGTGTGTCCTTCCTCTCTCCCCCTAGATGACGGTTGGATTTTGCTTCCTGTAGGGATGCTGTAACTTCAGCTGCTTACAGAGAGATGGAAAGCAAGAGATTCTTGTCATTTCTTCTGGAACCTCTCCAGCTGGGTAGCTGCTTACCTGATTTGTGCATAAAGTCAGACCCAGTGTCAGGCTAAAAGGCGTTTCTGGTTGGAGACTCAATGAAGCACGTCATAAGAGTTGCAGTAGATATGCACAAGAGTGGACTTTGGCATCGCCTGCCTCTCTTGGGAGAGCCTGGTAAAATTGACTTGAATGATTCTAAATAATGACTGAGGCTGGACAGGGAAAGAAATTTCACAGATTTAAGAGAGTGGAAAGACCACTAAACTGACAGCCAAGAAAATTCTGTCTAGCACTGTCCCTGGCTCAGCTAATTAAATAGGACAAGGCAGTCTTCCTTTTTAAGCCTTACTTATCTACACTTATTTTCCTCTTCCCATCTAGAATGCAATCTATACATGGCAAGTATATTTAGCCAGGAACATTGGTAACAAGTGACAGACATCAAACTCAGACCAGCTTCAGTAAGAAATGATTATATTGGCTCTGTGTTGAGGACAATGAGATAACCCATCGGATACAAGTAGCCTTCTAGCTTTGGAAAGGAATCCAGAACTACTGTCTGGGGCTTCCTAAGAAATAATCCTCTTCCAGCTAAATGGAGGATGAACAATGTGGTGGAAGAGGGTCAGAAGCAGCAGTGAAGACAATAGGAGAAGCACAGTGCTTCACAATGAAGTTGCTGGGCCAGAATCTTGACCAAAGTCATCTAGAACAAGGACAATCTGAAGAAAATAATGCCAACTGATTTCAGGAGAAGAGGAGCTGTCATATCACCACCAACGTATAAAAATGAAGATGGGCACATTGATGATCAAGATGAAACACCAAAGAGGACGAGGGAATGCACCAGGAGAGTGATGAGCTGAATCCATCTCGTGGCAGTCTCAGAAGGACCAACCCACAAATAGCAACAATGTCATTGGGACTTGCCAGTCACCGTCTTTGGCCCCATTAGACCCAACAACAACAAAAGAGAGCTCATTGGTCAAGAAGAGTTGTTAAATGACAAATTCAGGAAGACTCACTATGAATTACAGTTCCTAGTGGTTTTCAAACTTCAACCCAAACTGTGATGAAGATATTTAGAATAGCATCATTGCATAAGTTCTCCCCTTCTTTCAAAGACAGAGTTTAACATGAACAAAGATTGGGGGGGAGGGTGTGGTTTAAAGGTTTTTTAAAAGTTATCTGGATTATTCAGAGTAATCAAATCAATCATGGCAGACACTGTTAGTTGTCTCCCTTCTTCCTGGCTGATAAATCCTGATTTTCTTCAGATGTTCACCCTTCCATGTGCTCATGGAAAGTAGTGAACAACAACGCGTTTAATAAAACCATGGAAATTCTATTCCCCCTTCACATGTGACTCAGTCTTGCTCTCTGGAGTGAGAAGGGGCTTTGGAAAGGATTTTCCCTGCTAATAAAAAGAGGATCACTAGACAACGGTCCCTTCATCATCCAGACATTGTGCGTCTACATGAGATGCCTGGAGCTGAGGCAGCCATCTGGTAAACAAGAGAACAGAGCCTAAAAACCAAATTGATATGCTGAGCATAACATGCTAAGAGATGGAAACAGCATGGGCCCTGAATGATATTTGTGAGACTGCAGAATCATTCTGAAACTGAGTGTGTGTTAATAATAACAATAATATGACAATATTCTTATTAGCTTTGTTCTAATTACAATCATTTGAATTAATACAAGAGCAAAACACTGAACTGGCTTCCTGGCTTTCACTCTTTCCTTCCTATAATTATTCTTTATATAGTAGCCAAAGCAGTCCTTTTTCAAATTTGATAATGTCATCCTCTTGCTTAAGTCTACCCTCAGTTCCTAGAATAAAATCATATTCCCTGGTCAAAGACTATAACCCTGACATACTTTCCAATCTCATCTTACTCCACTTTCACCTTCTTACTTCCCTTTTTTTCTGCCATCACTTATTTTTCTGCTTTGAACAGCCTAAACTTTTCCTAATCAGGGGTTTTGTTCTGGCTGTTTCTTCTGTTGAACTTCTTGCTCTCCAGATCTCCACATGGATAGTTCTTTCTAGTCCTTCGGACGTCAGCCGAATCATCACCTCATCAATGAAGTTTTCCTTGAACACTCAAGCAAAATATCCATCCTCCCCCCCTGGAGTCAGGTTTTATCACTTCACCCTTTAGTTTATTTCCTCCACAGCACTTACCACTCTTTGCAGTTATTGCAATTATTTAAATGCTTACTAATCTGTTATCTATTTTCTCTCCCTAGTATGTAAGGACCAAATGAACAAGGATCTTGTCTGTCTTGTTCACCATAATTTCCACACCCTGAGAAAAGGGTCTGAAAAATGATAAATTCTCAATAATAATTGTTGAATAGATGAAAGAAAGGGAGAGAAGCAGAGGGAGGGTGGGAGGGCGGAAGGAAGGAAGGAAGGAAGGAATGAAAGGAGAAAGAAGGAAGGAAGGGCTGTAAGAACCAGAGCCTCAGGGACTGAAATTAGGTGTTCAACTATGCCAATGTTATGTGTCTCACTCTTCTCAGCTTGGCATTTCCCCAGAGTGCAAAAAGGATGGCAGCAGCAGCCCTAGAGTCACTTCCTCCCAACTTGTCTTCTCCAACAGAACGATACTCCTTCTTTCAATGTCTGTATACTGCTCCCAGGAAAGAATTCTGATGGGCCCTGCTTGGGTCATGGGCCTAACTATGGACCAACCACTGTGTCTAGAGAAATAGAGTATTATGACTGTCCAGGACCTGAGTTACAGCCCATAGCCAGAGTGTACTGTATCATGATTGACAGTTCCTCCTGATCCACAGGGAATGGAGGTGGGTGGTGTGGGTAGAAGCAGGGACAGGAAGAGGGGGAGAGGGGATGTAGAAGGAAGGAAGAGGAAAAGAGAGTTCTCAAAAAAAAAAAATAGGATTCCTGGACAAACAAAATCAATAGATGTTCCCTATAGAAATAGACAAACTACATTGCATCGTGGCCCTGCCAGAATGTTTTCCTAGTCCTCCAGATTTAAAACACACTGATCCCTAATTTACTATATCAGGACAAGTCCTTGTCTACACAACCAGAGTTACAGAAGAGCAAATTGGAGACTATTTGTGCATATGTGGTTTCTTGACGGAGGAGGAGAGACAATAAGATTTAGCCATTCACTTTGTTTTGAAGACATCTCTTGCTAACAATTGGGCAAAGGTAATGGCTTTCCACCAATCTGTGGTGTCCTCTGCTGTCTGTTCAAAGTCCTTTTCCCCTCTAATCATCAAGAAAAGATGGCTGCTTCTAGCATAAAGGCAGCCTCTATTTCCTCTATTTGATGATTCAACCACATGAGCAGCCATCACGATCCCCACCCAAATACACAGGATGGCTGCACCACAGTCAACTGGCAGTGTAATAGCACAACAAAGGAAGACCCCCTTGGGTGAGAAGAGGTTGGTCATCAACACTGTCATATAAAGGGATAGTGACTTACAAGGAGAAAACATGTTCTTGGCTCCAAATTGTCTTTGATGGGGCATTTTTGAGGGATAATTATGTTGGTGGGGCTCCTTTCCCCTAACAGGTTTGTTTACCAAAATACTGAGCATGCATTACACATCAACATAAATAATTCCCCCTATATCTTTGTCCTCCAAATTTTGCAGTTAATTAAACCAATTTGTCTGTTTTTGTGAGTTGGAAACTCTTACTGTCATCCTTTCCAATCACTACTTATTTAAATTTCATCCTTGGCCAGTTTCATGATGTTTATCCGCTCCAGAGAATTTGAAATGAGAGTAACACACAGGGATCCCATTTAAATTCTTTCTCGAAGCTGAAAAAAGCCGAGAATCAACTGGCCAGTTAGATAACACAATTTCCCTCGTAGGATGTTTGCTTAGGATAGCTGGGAGCTAATTTAATTCCAGAGTTGCTTATTTACAGGTTTCTGTGAGGGATTCCCTGCAGTTAACAGCAAACTGGGTAGAAAGATTCTAAAGAAGCATTCTCGAGACTGTTCTGAAAAGCAAATTACATACATTATTTTTAAGGAAAATAAAAATCTATACAATTTGCTGTGAACATTCCACTCTGTCCAGTTCCCAACTAGAAAGACATTCTAAGACCACTTAGACTCACTGTTTGGCATTTCATTAATCCATTTGGAAAGAAATGGCTCCTTGATCTTGACTCCTTTAAAATGTTAGCTTCAAGAATTCAGTCAGCTCTATGTATTTACCCTACACAGAAACCCACAGCCTTGGATTGCCATAGAGTTCAGGAGAGAACCATCCAGAAGACCTAAGGAAAGGAAGACCAATGTTGTACACTGTTTTGTTTTTGTTTTATGTTGTCAACTCCCTGGACATGCCCCCACAGCATGATCTAGCCCCTGCCGACCTACCTCTTCAGCTTCCCTTGAGCTTCTCCTCTCAACAGCTCCCAACCACCCTACTCCACCCAATTCCCTCAACCCCTCCCTCCCTACCCATCCCACCTCTATCCAGCTACATTGATGCCTTTCAGTTTTTCATACATGTTCTCTCATATTACACAGCTCACTCACACACTCTTCACCAAGGCAACTCCAGCTCGTCCTTCAGGACTCAATCCAAAGCCACTTCTCTGAGGCCATCTTCCCTGACATTCCAGACTACATCAGGTTCCCCATCACACTCACTTGTAGAGCACTTCAATTCTCCTTGCCACTGAGCACAGTTCTGATTGATTATTTCTCTGTGTAATATTTTGTTTAAAGAAAGCCTCTTTGCCTGACTAGGTTGTAACCTCCACAAATGGCAAGGACTGGGGCAATGTTGTTGACTACTGTATCCCACAGTGCTGTATCCCACAGTGACCAGCACATAGAAAGTGTTAAATAAATACTTGTCAACTCAATAACAAGTTAAAAGGCGTTAGGTAAGTCCCTCAAATTCTATGATCCCTTCCATATCAAGAATTTTGTGCACGACAGAAATGCTAGAACTGCAACAACAAACCAAATTAATACCTGAATTAGGCGTAAAAGAAACTAGCCTGGTGAGAAGGAGATAAGGGTGAAAGAGGAGTGAACTAAGCCAGCTTGAGCAGCTATTATGGCCAAGCCCTATATTAGGTGCTTTTGGATAGCTTATCTCAATCACTTGTCACAACAATCCTTTAGCTTGCTTATCGTTTTTCCCATTATTCAGATTAGAAAATTGAGCTTACATAGATAAAAAGTGATGGGACTGCTTGAATCCAAAACTTCATTATTTCCAATATACTGTATGTTAGATCTGTGTTTTTAGTTTTAAAAAAAAAATGGGTATAGAGACTGAAAAGAAAAAAAAAGAGAGTGGAAAGACTCCTGGCTTTTCTCCCCCAATTTCTATACTTAGCCTGTTCTCTCATATTATACAACTCCCACACCCACTCCTCTCTGCAAACACACACACACACACACTTAACACAGCAGGCCTACCCATGGGAGGATGCTTTCTCGAGCCCTTGGTGATAACCTCCACAGTCGATTAGGTGTGACTTTAACCAGAAACTTCGGCCCTCTGTCTGCACCATTAACCCTTCTTCACTTTTACCTTGGGTCCCTTCTCAGCTGTGATCAATTTGACACTCATTCTGTGCCTGTTAGGCCATTATTCCAATTTCATGTTCTGAACAGAATCGCACTTTTAATAAATTATAACAATCGGCTCCAAACGACTTTGAGAATAGGCCTCACTTTTGATTTCCCACAAAGCCATCTCTGTTCCCACCTCCTGGAGGAGAGGAGGACACATTGTTCTACCCCAGCCAAAAATAATTCAAGCCAAAATAAGACATCACAGAAAAGTGGAGGGCATTCAGTGCTGCTGAGCAAGCTCACTGGAGCATGGAGGGGCACAGGAACACAGAGGTAAATGCCTTCCTGGTGCAGAAGCCACCATGGGCAAAGGTGAGGCCTTCTCTGACTGCACCCAGCCCCTCCAGTCCATGACTTTAAGGATCCTTTGCTAGAGGATAGCTTTTCCCTTGAATCCTTTTGCTTCCTTGTTTGTTTGCTGGGGCTGTTGTGCTGCAGCTACTCCCCTAAAATTCTACCCAGAAAGCAAGATAACTCACTAAGCTTTACAAGGCCCACTATCTAGGACAGGACATGTGGACCTCCAATGTGAACTCACAAGTGACAGCAGCTGAAGTTGAACTCAGGTTCTCCTCAGGCTACTCTCTGGGAGTTGAGGGAGACCTGGCCTCAGAGGGACCCCAGAGCCTTCCAAAAGGGAGACTCTCAAGATGTTAAAAATTGAAAAAATTCCTAAACAAGTTTACTAAAATTGTGACAAATACTAAATATTTGTATTAAGCAGATTAACTCTCTATTAATATAGCAGGTAACGCAGTTTCATGGATTTAAAGAATAGATGTTGAGTTTCCACTTCTGGTAATAAATGGCTGAGGAGCTTCTATCAGAACAACCCACCCAAAAGCATTAGAGTCAGCAAAATCTGGCAGAAATTAAAGGAGCATTGACACTTGGAAGAATGGACTGGCCTTGGGTGAGTTCTACTGTTATGTAGTCTTTTTCTGGCAGGCAGGCCTCAGTACGCACCACTTGGGGTGCTGAATTTTGGGCTACTACAGCATTTGGAAAGTGAAGAGCATCAAGCGGGAAGATCTGAAGGCTGGAGAGGACTTGATGGCTGGATCTAGAACCATCTTAATAGTCATTCACTCATTTGCCTGGCTTCTGGGATAGGAGGACTCGAAAGCTAGGGCTGTCCAAACACCTACACGTGGCCTGTACACATGGCTTGACTTTCTTGCAGCATTGAGGCCTCAGGGTAATTGGCCTTCTTACATTAAGACACAGGTTCCAAGCATAAAGCTTGCAGCTAACAAGGCAGGAGCTGCATCGCTTTTTCATAACCTAACTCAAAAGTCACACAGCATCTCTTCCACTTCATTAGGTTGGTTACAAGTGAATCACAAGCCCCCAGAATTCAAGGGGAGGAAAATTAGATTTCAGTCTTGATAGAATGTGATAAAGCTCTCGAAGAGGAGGTGGGATAGGAGATACTGTTATGACTATCTTTGGAAAATGCAATCTGCCACAAAAATCAATAACGTAAGATTCCACTAAAAGAGTCTGAAAAAGAAAAGCAAAATACACACAAAGTCAGTAGAAGAAAGAAAATAATAAAGATAAGAGCAGAAACAAATGAAAAGAAACAAACAGAGAAAACGTAAACCACAACTTGATTGTTTGGAAAACAATAACAAAACTGATAAATCCCTAATTTGACCAATTAAGAAAAAAAGAGAGAACACAAATTACCAATATCAAGAATGAAGGGGAAGGAGAGGATATCATTACTGATCCTACAGACATTAAAAAGGACAGAAAGAGAATATTATGAACAACTTAAGGAAAAATTTTTTACAACTTAGGTAAAGTACAAATCCCTCAAGTAATCTAACTTACCAAAATGATACAAAATGAAATAGGAAATATGAACAGTTCTATATCCATCTATTAAAGAAATTGAATCTATTATGAAAAACTTTCCCACAAAGAAACCTCCAGGTCCAGATGGTTTTACTGGTGAATTCTATCAAAGATTTGTCAATAAACTAACATGAATGTTAACACAAACTCTTTCAGAAAATAGAAAGTAAGAGATTGCTTCCCACTCATTTTATGAGGCTTGTATAAACTTGATATAAAGCTTAACAGGGAAATTACAAAAAAGAAAAGAAAATTATAAAATAATAGCCCTGATGAACATACACAAAAAATCCTCCATGAAATATTAGTAAGTCAAATACAGCAGTATATAAAAATGGTAATAATACATCATGATTAATTGGAGTTTATTCTAGACATGTAAGTTCGGTCTAACGTTGGAAAGTCAATGTAATTCATCATGTTAACAGATTAAGGGAGAAAAACTTTTTGATCATTTCAATAGACACAAAAAAAGCATTTGACAAAATTCAATGCCCATTATACTAGAGTCTCTTGCAAATTAGGAACGGAAGGGAATTACTTCAATTTGATAAAGGGCATCTAAGGAAAAAAAAGTAGCATTATCATTATACTCGGTGGTAAAATATAGAATACTTTCCCCATAAGATCAGAAAAAAGGCATTTTCATTAGTTCTCTTCAGTATCATACTGGAGGTCCTAGATAATGCAGTAAGGCAAGAAAACAAAAAGACACAAAGACGAGAAAGGAAGAAATAAAACTGTGTCTAACTCAGATGATGCAATTATTTACTTGGAAAATTCTGAGGAATCTACAAATCAGCTATTAGAACTACTAAGAGAATTTCACAAGGTCAACATACGAAAATTAATTCTATTTTTATGTATTGGTAGCCAAAAATTGGAAAATAAAATGCCTTGAAATTTATTAACAGGGGCTGGCCTGTGACGTGGTGGTTAAGTTTGATGCACTCTGCTTCAGCAGCCTTGGTTCACAGGGTCAGATGCTGGGTGTAGACCTATCCCACTCATCAGCTACGCTGTGGCAGCAACCCACATACCAAAAAAGAGGAAGATTGGCATAGATGTTAGCTCAGGGCCCATCTTCCTCAAGCAAAAAAAGAGGAAGATTGGTGACGGGTGTTAGTTCAGAGTAAATCTTCCTCAGCAGATCAAAAACAAAAATAAAAATATTTATTTACAATACCTTCAAAACACATAAAATACTTAGGAATAAATGTATCAAAAGATGTGCAAGACATAAAAACTACAAAACATCACGGAAAGAAACTAAGGAGAAAAGCTTTAATAATTATGGAAATTTCAGAAATAGAAATAATGTTGAAAAATGTATCATATTCATGAATTGGAAGACTACATTTTTATGATACTATTTCTTCCCAAATCCCAGTAAAAATGTCACAGGGGTTTTTTTTTTGTAGAAATTAACAAGCTGATTCTAAAATTTATATGGAAATGCAAAGTACCTATAATAGCCAAGGCAATCTCGAAAAAGAGGAATGACTATGGAAGATTTATACTAGGCAACTTCAAGATTTACTCAAAAACTACAGTAATCGAGGCAGTGCAGTACTGACATAAGGACAGAAAAATAGATCAATGCCAGAAACTTATAAAATCATTTGATTTTCAACCAAAGAACTAAAACAATCAATGGGGAAAGGAAATCTTTTTAACAAATGGTCCTGGAAAAATTAGATATCCATATGGGGGAAAAATATAGTAGCTTCAACCCCTACTACACATCATCCATAAAAATTAATTTGAAAGACAGAAGCTAAAACTATAAATTTTCTATAAGAAAACAGAATAAGCTATGAATAGACAAAGATTTCTTAGATAGAACACAGAAAGCAATAATCATAAAAGAAAAAATTAATAAATTAGACTTCATCAAATTAAAAATGTCTGCTCATCAAATTTAACATTAAGAAAATGAATAAGCAAGCCACAGGCTCGAAAAAATAATTTCAAAGCTTATGTCTAACAAAGGACTTGTACCCAGAACATATAAAGCACATCCAGTACTTAAAAAGACAGCTCATTTTTTTTTTAAAGGCAGGGAAGGGCACAAGAAATAAAAATTAAATGCAACGTGGGATCCTCGATAGAATCTTGGAACAGAAACTGATGTATTTAAATAAAGTCTATAGTTTAGTTAACAGTATCACGCCAATGTTAATTTCATGGTTTTGATCATCGTTCTGTGGTTATATGTGATGTGAACATTAGAAGAAGCCAGATGAGGCACACACAGGAACTCTGTACTATTTTTGCAACTTTTCTGTAAGTCCAAAATTAGATCAAAAT